GAACTCTGTCCATGCTCTGATGATCTGACTCCAGTCCTCTGAAGATGCTGGCCACAGAGACTGGTGAAACGCCAGGAAGAACAACCTTCAAAACACGGCCAAAGAGCCTGAAAACCCCACAACAACCATTAGATCCCGGCCGTGAAAGCCTTCGCGAATATTTTGAGGGTGTGTTGGCTGATACCAGAATGATTGAAATTCACTCTTCTGCGCTTCCTCTTCTTCCTAGCAAGATACAGTATATGCCATTCCTAAATTAAGTCACCCTCAAAAGGATGCCCTTCAAAAACGGCCCACCTCAGGCAGCAGCTCCGTTCTGCCCGACGGCAAGGCCCTCCGTTCCCCGTGGCTCACAAAGGGTGCACTGACTTGATGGAAATCAGCCTTGTGTCATTTTGTTTTGAAGGTTCGGGGTTCCTGTGAGGAGGTGATGGTGGTCTCCCCTGAAGCGGCCTGGTCTCCCTCAGGCTCTGCACCCCGTCGGCCCCTCCACAAAGAGGATCTGTCAGCAGACGGGCCGCAAAATCCCAGTTCCTCAGGTATGTCAACCGTACCCTTGGCTCTTTGTCTTTTGGCCATGGCCACCTCCCAGATTGGACATTGCCTTTAGCCTGAATCCTCTTGAGTAGAATGTGTAAGGATGGTTTTTCTCCTTTCAGGATGGGTGGGGGCTGCCCTTTGCGAGATCCACCAGGCACCTGATAGTGTACCCAGTTATATGGCAACCAGTGCATGACCAGTTGAGGGACGGAGAGCCCACCAGGAGATGGGAAATGCTTGCAGGAGTAACCTTGTAGAGGTTCTCAATCTTGAGTCTTCCAGAAGCCTACGCCACTCTCTGTGCTGGCCAGGATTTCTGGGAGTTGTAGTCCATGAACATCCAGGGACTCGAGTTTGGGAACCCCTGATTTGTAAGCAAACAAGATTCTGACTGTCATGTTTAGCTTTTGGAAGAAAAGGTGCCGAACAGCTTTGTTTTGGGGACGCAATACACTGGCAGAAATCCAGTGTATCGGTGTCTCGGAACAGGATTCACATGTGCTGTATGGGAGTTGCAGTTCAAAAGCATCCGAGTAACAAAGGTTAAGAACCAGTGGTCTAGAACAGTGGTTCTTAACCTTGGGTTACTCAAGTGTTTTTGGACTACCACTTCCAGAAGACTTCAGCACCAGCTGTGCTGGCTGGGGTTTCTGGGAGTTGCAGTTCAAAAGCATCCGAGTAACAAAGGTTAAGAACCAGTGGTCTAGAACAGTGGTTCTTAACCTTGGGTTACTCAAGTGTTTTTGGACTACCACTTCCAGAAGACTTCAGCACCAGCTGTGCTGGCTGGGGTTTCTGGGAGTTGCAGTTCAAAAGCATCCGAGTAACAAAGGTTAAGAACCAGTGGTCTAGAACAGTGGTTCTTAACCTTGGGTTACTCAAGTGTTTTTGGACTACCACTTCCAGAAGACTTCAGCACCAGCTGTGCTGGCTGGGGTTTCTGGGAGTTGCAGTTCAAAAGCATCCGAGTAACAAAGGTTAAGAACCAGTGTTCTAGAGGACAGCCTCAAGAGGTGTCTCGGTTTCCTAAGAACTTAACTGTCGAAGGAGACCATTTGTGTAGGGCAGAGGCCTCTTGACAGCTAAACCGGACTCCCCTCTCTATCCACACAACAACCTTTAGCTCAAGCTAAAGGAAGCAGAGTGACTGGTCATAAACTGCCTAGCCATTTTTGTGGATCAGACTGAACTGGGGTCTGTTCCTGTACCTTGCCTACCAAAGTCCAATCGTTTTTCCTCCTCCTCCAGGGAAAAGCCGAGCACCGGACATTTACGTACTTCCCTCGGGCGAAAGAACAGTGAACGGGGACATGTTGGCCGTTCCTCCTCAAGGCAGCGTATCTGAGCTGCCGACGCTGCTCGGGACGTTACTGGGGCCCTCCAGTTCCCTCCGAGGCGCTCCGGGACTGGAGCAGGAGAACGGGCTCGAACCGGCCGAGGCGTGGGAGGAGGAAGCCCGGCTCTGCAGCGAAGGGGTGTACGAGACGGTGGTCCGGCTGGAGGAGTACGGCCACTGGTGCCTCGAGTGCGGGGAGAGCTTTCAGGACGCCACGCAACTCACAGAGCACCAGAGGACGCATTCGGGCCGCAAGAGGCCGGAATGCCCCGAGTGCGGGAAGAGTTTCCGGGACCTCTCGCATGTCCTCCGGCACCAGACGGTCCACACGGGGGAGAAACCGTACGCCTGCTCCGAGTGCGGGCAAAGCTTCACCCAGAAACCGGCTCTCAATCGACATCTAAGGAAACATATGGAAGACAAAGACTACCCAGGTAGAGAGCTTCAGGGCTCCGGGGTGTGTGTGTTCGTCCGGCCCGTGTTTGGTAAAGTTATCTTTTTTGGACTACAACTCCCAGAATCCCCACCCGTCAGCAGGGGAATAGTAGCTTTTCCCCGCTCTGAACTTCGTATACCGAGGAAACACGAGAGGCAGCCCTCTGAGGTGATTTCCAGCAGAACCGGCCCTACCGTTAGGCAGAGTGAGGGGGTTGCAGCTTTTGAATGCCAGAAAAGGGCAGGAAATGCCGAGGGAGTTAAACTTAGGCCTGTTGCACCGTTACTAGAGAGGAAGAGGAGGTGCCGTTGGCTTGATTGACTCAGGCAGCAAAATGCCTTGGGCGGCTCCTTTTCGGGAAAGAATTGACTTGCTGGGGAGGCAGTTCCTCTCAGGATCTGTCATCAGAACGATGCTTCTGTTTTGTCATGGTTTTAATAAAAAAGTTGCTTTGGTTTTAATTGTATTTTTATTATGTTATTTTAGAGTTAGGCACCTTTAGCTTTCTAATTATGTTTTTTTCCTTGTTTTTTTTGTATTATTAGCCACCTTTTTAATAGACAGGACCGTGGAGAGAGAGAGAGAGACAGAGAGAGACACGCATGGGAATGAAATAAAAAGATGTCATTCCTGGGGGGTTTTGAGTGAGAGCTTTTTGGCCGAATATTTGTTCAGGAGGTAGGCATCTTTGCAAAATCTTGAAAGTTTCCTCCAAGTGGCTCCTGTCATTCTGTTTTGGGGCCTCTGGGGCCCTTCTGACTACATAAGAGACAGCATTCAAGAGACCTAAACAGAAGTTGGTGCTTTCCAGACGATTTATACCACAGTGGATAAAAATCAAGGATTTTAAAAAATGAAATTGATTTAAATAACAATTTAAATCATGCTTTAAATTTTTTTTAAATCAATTTTTTTACATTTAAATAGGGATTTAAATTAATCAGACAGGAAGCATAGTAGGGGAATTGAACTCTGAACCTCTGGCTCCATAGCCAGATACTAAAATCACTGAACTATCCAGCCAGACTAATGATGTGTGGTTAAGTCAACTAAAGTTAATCCTTGTGTGGGATCCACTGATCATTTCTTCTGGCCCAACAGGTTTGGAAATCACTGTGAAGCCCGCAAGGGTGCACGCGGGGGGCCGCAAGCGCCCGGAGTGTCTGGAATGTGGGAAAAGTTTCCGGGATGTATCGCAAGTCCTTCGCCACCAGACGGTCCACACGGGGGAAAGACCTTACCGCTGCCTGGAGTGCGGGCAGAGCTTCACTCAGAAGCCGGCGCTGAACAGACACAAAAGGAAACATCTGGAAGCCCAACCCTATGCAGGTGGGGAAAGAGGCTGGAAGAAGCACGGGGAGATCTCTTGCACCCCAAGAGCCGAGTTCAAGTCAAGGGAAGTGGGGGTGGGGCATTGCAGAGGTGGGTGGACCCAAATATGGGAGGGTGGGACCGAAAACACGGTATTTTAGAAACACTTCCACAAACTCAGCCTTACGAGACCGGCTGAGGTATTTTAAAAAGCACGGTGGAGGGAATATCCAGAAACTAGGCGAAGCTCAAATGTTTCTACCACGGGAAGGAGGAGAAGCCTTGCGGAGAATTCCGTACGGCTGGTGTAGAATCTTGGGAGGGCCAGATTTGGCCCCAGGGCTTCTGGCACCCCACTCCCTACATTTGGGAAATTAAAAAAAAATTTAAATGACTTTGGGCGAAACAAAAATAAAAACAAAACAAAAATTAAAAAATAAGGACACCAAAAACAAAAATAAAAACAAAACAAAAATAAAAAAATAAGGACACCAAGCTGTGAACTTTCGTGGACAAGTCCACGTCTTCAGATGATCATTTGCTAAATTTAATGAGTGATTAATCAAATCATTCATTTATTCATTAATCAATCAATGAATATAGCAACAATTTCCCCCTTGGTGTCTTGTATAACTTACATTAATACTGTAATAGCATTTTGAAGTACGGTAGGAAATCCCTCCCCCATATTGTCAGTGCTATTATAATAGCGAACTCATAGCCTGGTTTCTCGCTTCCTTTTGTGGTCAGTTCTAGTAACGTTATCGCTAAAATTATATATTTTTGGTATTTTTCTTAAAATATTTTAAATATTTTCAGACCGTGGATAAGTGAATTGGCAGATACTGTACATGAGAGCGACATATCCTTTTTATTCCATTAAAAATCCTCACACCAATCTTTGGCACCCCATGGCCTCTTCTGGCCAGCATGTTTTCTGGAATACTTATAGGAGAAAGTGACATCAAAATGCCATCCTATTGGCCAGAGTACAAAGATGCTTTTAGAGACATCAGGCACCTGGCATTGTGGTGGTCGGTGATGATGAGGATGATGATTAAATTCTGCAGCCCTTGGAGCTCCACCAGAAAATTCTGCATACATAGTCATTTTTTAAAATGCATCAATTATATGAAAAAGGAGAATTACACTCCTTAAATATATTTGCATAATGTGTTGCTTGTACTGTAAAATTGTGGAATTCTAGGAAAAGCTATTTTTGATTTTAGGCAGTGGTGTCACCCGTGGTATCTTGGGTTATCACCAAGCAGTGGCTGGGTAATCATCCAGCCATGGGCCTGACACACCCTCACATCCCTCAACATTAAATTTCAGCAAAATTTCTTTACCTCTCCTTAATTTCATAAGGTAACTTCTTTCCACACACATACACTCACACCAGTTAGAAAAAAGTAGCCATCTTCATGGTCCCATCTGTCAATGGTAAGATAATTTTTCACCTGCCATAGCTCAGTAGTTTAGGTTTCATGGTTGTGGAGCCAGAGGTTGGGAGTTCGAATCCCCGCTGGGCCTCCTGAGGCAAGAGCCAACCTGGGTAGCCTTGGGCAAGCTGCACAGTCCCAGAAACAGATTCAGAAAAAAGGACAAGCAACCACTTCTGAGTATTCTTAGCCTTGGGCAAGCTGCACAGTACCAGAAGTAGCTCAGAAAAAAGGACAAGCAACCACTTCCGAGTATTCTCTACAGTGGTGCCTCGCATTACGATGTTAATTCGTTCCAGCGAAACGTAAAGCGAAATTAAAAAGCCCATAGAAACGCATTAAAACCTGATTAATGTGTTCCTATGGGCTTGAAACTCACCGTCCAGCGAAGATCCTCAATAGTGCGGCCATTTTCGCTGCCCGTGCAGCGAGGAATCTGTCCCAGAAAACAGCGGGCGGCCATTATTTTTTTACCCAGCGGCCATTTCGAAACTGCTGATCAGCTGTAGGAAAATCGTCATTTTGCAAGAATCGGTTCCCGAAGCAGGCAACCAATCATCACAAAGCAAAATTCCCCCATAGGAAACATCATCATTATGCGATTTTGTCATAAAGCAGAGCACTTGTCTTGCGAGGCACCACTGTACTTGGAAAACCCTGAAAAGGTTTGCCATAAGTCAAAACTGACTTGATGGCACAATAGGATTGTTTTTAATGGCTCAATGTTTCATCAGAGCTGGGCAATGTGAAGCCCATGCCTGCCAGCTCACCTCTGTCCTGTTTTTGCACCACCACCCCCGGCTATGCCACCGCCAAATTTGCTGGTGCCCAGACAACAGTCTTAGGGGGCAGACCTTTAAGGCAAAGGGTTTCCCTCTCCATGGGCCTGGTTTACAAGCAAAATCAGTCCCAGAGATTTCCTGGAAGTCTGAATTCTAGCTGAAAACCAGACCTGTGAAGGAGTACACACAGCGGCCAAAATCCTGTCACACCATTTTGCAAAAGGTGTACCTTTTGGCAATTAAGTTAAGAAATTGTCTTAGGCATTTTCCGTTGTACGCCAAGTTAAGCGATCCAGTATGCTGTAGACTAGGCTTGTCCAACCTGCGGCCCGAGGGCCGCATGTGGCCCAGGTCAGCTCGTAATGCGGCCCAGTGCAATTTTTTATTTTTAAAGAAATTCCAAAGTTTCAAGTTACACTGCCGGCGCTTGCGGCCGGAATGTGGCCGGGGCATGTCACAACAGTAGAGGGAGAGAGGGGGAAGGAAGGAGGGAGTGGGAGGGGAGGGGAGAGGGGGGCTGCATGACTGCATTGCACCATCCCCGTCAATAGGTGGACTCCCTCCTGGGCCCATAAAGCCACAGGAGTCGAAGCGGGCAGTCTCTGCTGTCTGTGATCGCAGCTGCCGGTAAGCGCACTTGGAGCAGGGCTGCGGAGGACGGCTAGGGCTGGCCCCCCCATGTTGCACAAACCAAATGTATGTGCGGCCCAAACCAAATTTTCATCTTCTAATGTGGCCCAGGGAAGGTGAAAGGTTGGACACCCCTGCTGTAGACAATACCTACGGATATAATTTATGGCAATGCATTGCTAAAAGTTGCACCGTTTGAGTAACTGTGCAACAGAATTTCAGCCACTGGTTTCCAGAAAAAAAAAAGCAGAAAGTTGTTTCCCCCCCCTTGCTTCTGCAGCTGCAAATTATGTGGTGCTGGTGGATTTAATGCACCTTGACATATGCATCAATGCAGTTGTGTCCAACACATTGGAACATGCTTGGACGGCAACTCTTAGAAATCCTGGCCAACACAACTAGTGGTGAAGTCCTCTGGGGTTTTTTAGTCCAAGAACATCTGGGGGCCCAAGGTTGGGAACCACTGCATTAAAGTATTGGGGAAACCCCAAAATATGCAAAAATACATTTATTTTCCCTTTTGCATGGTATGATTCCTGTTTCTTCTCCTCATCTCTCTGCAGACAATGGAGAAACACACGGAAACCAAGACAGGGGCTACATGAAACCTGTCGTGGTGCCACAGGGGGTCAGTGGCAACTGTGGCGCCCGCAGTTTATGGGAGAGCTGGCCAACGAGTAACAAAGACGGCAAGCCAACACCAAGCGTGGCGGAAGAATCCAAGAACACGAGGAAGAACCTGAACCGCAAGGGACAGAAGAAACACTGGTGTTTTCTCTGCGTGAAGGGTTTCCGGGACAAGGCAGACTTGGTGAGGCATGAAAGGATTCACACGGGCGAAAAGCCATACGCGTGTCTCGAGTGCGGAAGGCGGTTCAGCTACACCTCGAGTCTGTACAAGCACCAGTTGATCCACAGCCTGCCGGGCGATCTGCTGGCAGGAGAATTCGAAGAAGAGGAATTAATCCAGGAGCAGAAAGCTCCTGTGAACCTAGTCGTGGCTGGAGAAGATGGGGGCAAGAGGTTGAACCCCGGAGTGAAGGTGAAGAAGGAGGATTGTGAGGAGGAAATTTCCCCTGGGCCTCGCCTAATACCCGTCGGAAATTTTGCAGAGAGGTGAAAAGTGTGACCTTTGCCGCTACTGTTTCTTCTTCTTCTTAAAACATAGTTCCAGGTTTAAAATCCTCTTTTGTTACACTGACTGGCAATACAGTGGGCGTCACGGAATCACCACAAGTGAAGAAGTGGGCATAAACATAGGCCTGCAGTGTTGAACGCCTCTAACTTCTCCGTTTGTTCACAGCTGAGGGTTATGCCAGTCACGTCACGCAGGCGTTAAAAAAACGCAAACCGAATTTTGGCCAGCGATTCAAAACCGGCCCCCTCCCCGGGTTTTGTCTCTACCACTCCTAGCGTGTACATAGATGTAAAGCTGTTTTTCTTATGTCTGACTGTGACGACGCTCTGAGTCGTGTGGCGGATCATCTTCACAGTAGCATGGTCTCGGTGGACTCCTGTCTCAAACGCTAGCTTGTGTCTCATGTCAAATAAAAAAAGCTGGATGGATTTTAAGCTGCGCATTAACGCTTTCTGGGTTTGTAGCTGTCATTTTATTTGGTTTCTGAGCACTGGGGACGCTGGGGGTAAATGGCATTGTCCAGGCACGGGATGGTCCAGGACGTTTGAAGTTCAAGATTTGCAGACTTTAACATATGGGAGTATTGCTGGGGAGGGGCAAGGGGGGACTCGGACAAGTGGACTTGCTAAGTTGAACTACTAGGTTAACAGCAGCAGGGCTGAGATTCAGGAACCTAAAAATTCTGTGTAGCAACGTATTTATTTATTTTTATTGGTTTCCTCTTAATTGTCTGGGCATCACCTCTGCTTGTTGGTGTATTCGCCGTTTTCTCTCGTCTTACAATGTATTCCAAGGCCCCAGAGACCCACCAATGACTCTTCAGCGTACATGGTAGGTACTCTCTGATTTCCTGTTATCAACCTCCTGTGCCCACCCTGATGATTCAGGATATGTGGTTGTCAGAGAGATACAGTGGTGCCTTGCTTGACGAGGATAATTCGTTCCGTTGAAATCGCTGTTAAGCGAAATCCTCATCAAGCAAAATGAAAAAAACCATTGAAATGCATTGAAAACCAGTTCAATGCATTCCAATGGGCTAAATACCTCAGCGTCCAGCGAAGATCCTCCATAGGGGCGGCCATTTTCGGTGCCTGTAAAGCAAGGAATCCATCCTAAATCACAGCGGGGAGCCATTTTGCACAGCGAGCGGCCATTTTAGAGCTGCCGATCAGCTGTTTTAAAATTGTCATCTAGTGAAAAATCGGTTCCTGAAGCAGGGAACCGATCATCGTTAAGCGATTTTTCCCTATTAGAACATCGTTTTGCGATCGCTATTGCGAACGCAAAAACTTCATCGTCAAGCGGTTTCGTCGTTTAACAAGGTAATCATTAAGCGAGGCACGACTGTATGTTATATGTTGGTTATACATGGGTGTCCTTCCCGTTTCGAATGGTTCATCAAAGCATCCGTAAAAGCGACCACATTGATGGACAACAGTAAAGGAAGGAATCGTTAGCTTTATAACTGTGATTGGCCATGATTATTAGGCTAACAGTATGGTATCCATGGGGTATCAGTTCCACTCCCCCCTGATAATGCCAAAAAACACTAAGTATTGAACGCTATACATTGCATTGTCTATAGCTCCCTCTAAAGGCCAGCTCTGGTAAATATACCCTGGAAATACGTATAAATACAGTATCGTCAAGCGGTTTCGTCGTAATCAGTGCAGCAAAAATCACTGCAAAGCGATTTCATCGCTATGCGATATTAAAAAGCCCATAGGAATGCATTGAAACCCCTTCAATGCGTTCCTATGGGCTTCAGACTCACCTTTAAGCGAAAATCCTCCATACGGCGGCCATTTTCGCTGCCCGGTAAGCGAAGAATCCGTCCCAGAAAACAGCAGGAGGCCATTTTTTTCCCCTGTGGCCATTTTGGAACTGCCGATCAGCTGTTAAAAAAATCATCGCTTTGTGATGATCGGTAAGCGAAACAGGGTACCAATCATCGCAAAGCGATTTTTCCCCATAGGGAACATCGCAAAGCGATCGCAAAAAGTTAATCGCGATGTGATATCATCATTAAACGGGGTGCCTGTTAAGTGAGGCACCACTGTACATTTTTTCGGGTTTTTTTTAATTCTGTGTTTTCAGGCAGCAAATGATTGAATCAATGGATACGGATCCCATGGATGAGGGATCCTACTGTATTTCAAGTATTTATATATGCCTGACTTAGTGCCAGGCCTTGCAATCTTGGCAATTTACAATAAAGGAAAATTTACTCATAAACCCATCCCAGAAACCAAACGTTAAATCAAGAAATACAAATAACAAAGCAACCTCACTAAGATCTACAGTACACAGTGGCAGGACCAGGTAGCTCATCTATAGAACTAGCTCAGGAGAGGATGGCTTTGAAAATTGGAAGGGAAAGGGGGCCTGGCACGCTTCTAATGGGACCCCCTTCCATAAGGATGTGGCCACAACCAAGAAGGCTCGGTTTCCGGTTGTGGTCTTCTTTGCCTGTCTCGTTACGGCCACCCGTAAGAGCAAGGCCCACTAGGATCATGTGGTACGGGCTGAAGTTTTCCAGGAAAGACGCTCTGACAAGGAGCAGTGTCCCAAACTATTAAGGGCGTTATAGGCTAGAGTCAGACCCTGCCCCCCAAGGCAGGCGGGCCGGTACTGGGGTGATCTCTCCAAATCTTTTATCTCCTCCCAAGGGCGGGTCTTTTGTAAAACTAATGGGTCTTAGTCACCCGCTAGAGTGTTTGCCAGATCTCAGTGCTTCCCCCGACAACAAATTTTAACTTGAGTTGTAAATACTGAAGGAAAAAGCAAAACAAGAAAGGGGCAACAGCCAGGGTCATTCCTAATCGTTAAAAAGCAAAGTAGGAGCAATGTTGATTTTCCTGGAACGCGTTCAAATCAGCTGTGGTGCAGGTTCGGAGGGCTTCCCACTGCCCAGTGGGTGCTGAGACTGAATCCTGTTGTAGGGGTAGAACTCAGAGTAGCCCATGGTGAGCAACGCTGGGTGAAAAGCGGACCTTCAATCACATATAAGCAGAATTCCCCGAGATGCAGAAATACCGTTTCCTCCCCGAAAAGGGGGTACAAGACTGAGGTAAATTAAACAGAAAGACACAAATTGGTGGTGTTGGTAATTTCTATGATGAACAATTCAGCTTTTAAATGGATTTCAAGTTCAGTGCAGCTTACCCACCAAGGCATGTTTAGCCTGGGGCAAAGAAGACTGAGGAGGAGATAGGACAGGACTTTTCAAATATTTGAAAATCTGTCATCCAGAGGAGGGGCAAGATCTGTTTTCAGTCATCCCAGAGTGCAGGTCACGCAATGATGGGCTCAAGTTGAAAGGAAGCCAGATTTCGGTTGAATATCAGGAAACACTTCCTAACTGTTAGAGCAGTACGACAAGAGAACCCATGAACTGACCAGAGGAGGTGGTCCAACTCTGGAGGCATTCAAGAAAAACTTAGATAAGCACCTGGCAGATGTCCTTTGATTTGGATTTGAGCAGGGGATTGGACTCGATAGCCTTCTAGACTCTTTTGAGCTCCATTATTGTATGATTCTATGAACCAGGCCCAAGATTGCTGGTTTCAGTTCTTAAACTGGGGTTGTCGGCTCCGGTAGGCGCAGCGGCCACGCGAAACGCAACCATCAATAATAAATACTTGTATGCCTTCGGGTAATTTCTGACTTCAGAGCCACTCTGTTGAGGGTTTTCCAGGAAGAGAGTCCTTGGAACATCTGGGGATGCTTGGTGAACCCGGGACCGTTGGCTCAAGGCTACCCAGGCTGGCTATTCTCCTGGGGGGGCCCAGGGAGGAATCAAATGCCTGACTTCTGGCTCCACGGCCATCTCACTGAGCTGTCTAACCAGCAAAAAAATAAAACCCTCGCCCAAAACGATTAGCCCCACATCAGATGTGGCCAGATGTTCGCCTCCAGTTCTGGGTGGGGAGGAAATTGTGTTTTGTAGGAGAGGTGATGGTGGTGGTATGGGGTGAGTGCATACAGGGACTACCATGCCTTCTTTTGCCAGAGAAAAGGGGGATAGAGAGAAGTCAGGGGAGGCCCCGTCAAAAGCAAAATCAGCAGGACCGAGGCTCCACAAAAGCCACCTCTCGCCTAAATTGCCATATTGGGAAACCCTCCTCTCCTTCCACCTCCACAAGGTCATACAGTATATTGCTTGTCTATTTAGATGGAAAAGGTAAAGGTTCCCCTTCACAATTTTTGTCCAGTCGTGTCTGACTCTAGGGGGTGGTGCTCATCCCCGTTTCCAAGCCGTAGAGCCAGCATTTGTTCAAAGACAGTTTCTGTGGTCCATGTGGCCAGTGCGACTAGACATGGACCGCCGTTAACCTTCCCACTGAGGTGGCACCTATTCATGTACTCACATTTACATGCTTTCGAACTGCTAGGTTGGCAGGAGTTGGGACAAGCGACGGGAGCTCACTCCGTCGCGTGGATTCGATCTTACGACTGCTGGTCTTCTGACCCTGAAGCACAGAGGCTTCTGTGGTTTAACTCGCAGCGCCACCACGTCCCCTTCATTTAGTCAGGGGTCTCAAACATGCGGCCCGGGTGCCATTTGCGGCCCGCCAGATGATAGTTTGTGGCCCTCGCCTTGCCTGCCGCCCCTGAAGCGCCCACGCGTCCTCTGCTGTCAAGAGTCAAAAAAAGCCTTGCCTCGCTCGCCTGCTCTCTCCCAAGACAGCGCCTCTTGCACCCTCCATCTGGAACTGCAGCCTGCCAGCCAGCGTGCCTGTCTGCCGGGCTGCAGTTCTGGATGGAGGGTGCAAGAGGAGCTGTCTTGGGAGAGAGCCGGTGAGCAAGGCGCACTGCCAGCCCTTTTCCCCGAGTGGCCGAGCCACCGCCGAGCCATGCTTGTGAGCGGAGCTCACTCCCGGCCTGTCCTCGAAGAGCGCCTCCAAGTCGCCAAGAGGAGCTGCCGCCGCCTCCGCCTCTTCCAGGAAAGCAGCTCTGTGGCTTTCTTTCTCTCTCGGCACCCCCAGCACCAGCCCAGCCAGCGGCCGCCTCAGCACCCGGTGGTGCTTCCTCCTCCTCCTCTTCGTCCACCTTTTCAGCTGCCTTGGCTCTGGAGGCTGCCTGGGCTCACCTCACAAAGTTTGCCCCTCTGTCGTGGTGGGGGTAGCTGCTGCTGCTGAGTGTGCCTTTTTTTGAGGGGGGACCCCTCAGAGGAAGGTTGCTGGACCTCCGTGTGTATGTGTGCGTGCACGTGCACCTGTGAGGCCCCCACCCCATTATGTTTAATTTTGCGGGTACCAGTGGGGTCTTTTCTCCTTTGGCAAGGTAAAGTCTGTGAGTTTTTTTTTTAATTTTATGTTGTGCCCTCCTCCCTGCTAGGCGGTCGCCGGCACTCCCTCACTTCTCTGCTTCTTCATCCTGCTGCTGCTGCTGGTGGTAGTGAAGAAGGAGCCAGAGGGGGTCATGGCCAGCACCCCTCTTCCTCCTCCTCGGAGACCCAGGATTGAGGGGGGACCCCTCAGAGGAAGGTTGCTGGATCTCCGTGTGTGTGTGTGCGTGCACGCGCACCTGTGGGGCCCCCGCCCCATTATGTTTAATTTTGCTGGTACCAGTGGGGGCTTTTCTCCTTTGGCAAGGCAAAGTCTGTGAGGGTTTTTTTTAAATTTTATGTTGTGCCCTCCTCCTCGCTTAGGCGGTCGCCGGCACTCCCTTCCTTCTCTGCTTCTTCATCCTGCTGCTGCTGCTGGTGGTAGTGAAGAAGGAGCCAGAGGGGGTCATGGCCGGCACCCCTCTTCCTCCTCCTCGGAGACCCAGGATGGCTAAAGAAATTCCTGGGCGGCTTCCTTGGGCTCTTGCTCCGCTTGGCAGAAAATCTAATGCAGCCCAGCCTCACCCAGACTCTGCCTCCAGCGGCCCCCAGGTAAATTGAGTTTGAGACCCCCGATTTAGATGGAAAGGGAGGTCCCAATAGCTACCTTCCCCAGGTTGACTCCCTCAAAAGGCCACCCCTGGTCTTAGTTCAAATATATAATGTTCTTGAAGAGCAAGGACTGAACACACCCATTTTAAAGCTGTGGTGAAAAGTGTCCATTTCATTTTTTTCTTTCTTTATTTCTGCCGATACACTTGGGAGGGGGAGGCTATACAGCTTTTAAAGCAACCATGCATATAATAGAGGCAGCCATCTAGAAGACCCAGCTATTTAAAACATACCAGTATATACAGTTTCCTAAAAAAAGAGGCAAAAGTGAAGGGGTTCATTTCGAGAGGAGACTCCTGCTCACTCGTGATCCTGAATGAGCAATAAAAAGAGCAGGAGTCAAAAGCTTTCACAGCTAAAATAGTGTTACACGTAACTGACAAAGTTACCGTCCAAGACCTTCAAAACCGCAAACCCAGTTTCCTTTGAAATGTTGCAGCGTTTTCAGAAGGCAGTACTGCAGCCAAAAATTATTATTCCCCCCCCACAAAGCTATCGGGAAGGATCACAGTGAGGAGGGTTCCCTCCTCCCCAATTTTCCACCTCCTTTGGTTGTGTTTCCCTTGCACTTTAACACTGAGATCACCTCTCCAAAGTGTTGTGCTTTAAAGCACAAGGAACAGATTATATTAAATAAGAGAAATGAAAAAGACCATGAAGCTAAGATAAGAAGGAGTCGCTGTAACACAAAGAACGGTAATGTGAAGAAAGTTTGATTAGCCATCAAAATCTAAGCTAAGATATAAAACATACAAAACATATGTGATACAGTAGGTACTCAAAAGAAATACACATTAATGGTTTATAACAGTGTATGGATCACAAGAGGCTGACACAAAGGGTCAAAAATGGTAGGAATCTTAAAAATTGCTGACCTTTTCCAGTATTATGTCTCAAGCTTGACTGGCTTTTGGATATGACCAATTTTCATCCTAATTTCTATCACGAGATTTAGGTGTTAGAATTTCTTTTGATCAAGTTTGCAGAACAAGGATCGTAATTCCATTATCTCTTAACACTTCCCAGAGATTCTTGAGACAAGCCAAATGAATACCTTCCAAGTCACATAGACAACGGAATTTGTTAACATTTACACATGGACCAAGGCACACCGAGTGTGCTCTGATTGTTCAGCCATCTCTTTTAAAGAATATTAGTCACTTTAAAAAAAAAAAAGGGACCCACTTTTACACACCCAAACCAGGATCTTGTTTATGCATCTCCGCCAGTGCTGTGGGAGTGACCTCAGCAGCAGTGGGAGGCCTCTCCTAATTCAAGAGTTCCGACATCCATTTTGGGTTGTGCTTGACTGGCGTGAAATGAGATTAAAAGTTGCACACAATCCAAAACTGAAGCAGGAATGCTCTTCACGGGTAGAAATCAGCGGCTATCCGTGACATCATTCCTTAGAGAGTGACGCAACATGGTTTGGCCTGTTATTTTTTTCATATCAATTGGCCAATGTCAGCATACCGCCAGACAGGTCTAGAACTGCCCAAAAGCAGATTAAAAAGGAAATGAGCTCCGTTTCACCTCATTCCACCTTTTGAGAATTAACTTCCATGAATGAATGCCTTCGTGAGTTAGCTTAACCTTTTGAACACTGAGATATTACATCGTTAAAAAACAGTTAAAATAAGCGTTTCATGGGATTAAAAAAAAAACCCAACCAACCAACCCTGCTCTATGGTACCTCTTCTACCAGAAATCATCGGTCAGGTCTGGAAATGGAAAGTAACTTTTTTTTTTCCTGGCCAAGAGATTCCGGGAATCATAGTACCAAGAAATAACTTCCCCAAGACCTGCCATTTGCTTTCAACCTGCCCCCATTCATGATTGTTCACAAAACCGCACATGCAATGTTCCAGTCCCTTCCCTCCCCCACTCCATGTTCCAGTCCCTCCCCTCCCCCACTCCATCATCATCACTCTTGCCTATATTACAATTTACAGCACGAGCCACAGCCTTCTCCAACCCAGCGCTCTATGCCCCTGTGTGACCACAGCCCCCACCATCATGCTGGCTTGGGGAGAATGGGAGCTAGAGACGGATACAGCCGGAGGGAGCCAGGTGGGGAGCAATGAACACCTCTCCTTTTTTAAGGAGCTGCATGCTCTTTCCTATCTTTGGGGACGTCATATCCCAGAATTCTCCAAGAATTTCCCCAGGCAAGAGTTCTGGGAACTCCAGTTCACCAAACACGCACCTTACCGGCACCTTCCTTTCGCTCGCCTGGAAAAGGCCTATCTCCCACGTTGCACGGCCTCTGCTTCCTGTTAGAAAGGTACAAAAACAGGAAGCTACTACAGCACTTCGTAGGAACTGCAGTCTCGCTGCCTATGAGGCTCTGTAGACGGCACTTCCCAAAGAACTACAATTCCCAAGAAGCACCATGGTGCCTTCCTTTTATTTATTATATATAAGGCACCAGGGTGCTTCTTGGGAGTTGTAGTTCTTTGGGAAGTGCCATATATACATACAGCAACAACAGGAAGCAAAGGCTAGAGAAGGCCAAGCAGCCTCAAAGGTAGGCCTTTTTCCAGGTGAGTAAAACAAAAGTGTCTACAGGTCTATGTTGGTGAGTTACACGACTCCCAGAATTCTGCCTGGGGAATTCTTGGGAAGATTCTGGGAGTTGGAGTCAACCCCCACAACCACCACTACCAAAGAGCATACCCTTAGTTTTTAATACTGGAACTTAGTGTGGGAGGCAAAGCCTTGGCTGAAAGATTAGTGTCCTACTTAAAAGAAACTGTGCTGTATCATCCCATAAAACGGATGTAGTGCCAAGTAACCCATCCTATTTTCATGCTTTTAAAAACAAGAATAAGTCACCATTCTCCCCTTTTAAAAAAACACATTACTGAGTCATTTTCTAGAGCAAGGCTTCCCAACTGTGGTTCCCTGGGGGTTCTTAGACTAAAACTCCCAAGATGGCCGGGATTTCTGGGAATTACAGTCCAAGAACATCTGGGGACCCACGACTGAGAGTCATGCTCCTCAAGTCTAACTGCAATGTAAAATAGAGCTTAATTCCAAACGACCCTGAAACTCACTGAAATCCACAGGCTGTGCCACGCCTAATACTTGTGTCAGATTGTGGCTGAGTGTACTGGTTTTTTTATTATTATTATTATTTCCAAGCATGCCAGTATATGAGGAAAGACAGTTCAATCCCCCTGATATTTATGCATCAACCCCTAAACCAGCCTTCCTTGTTTATTTATTTATCTAAAATGTTTTTAATCCTGCCTTTCTCCTTAAAAGGACCCTATGCTTGTCTCCTCTAAATGGGCTGGAGAACAAAACCCATCTGACCTGACAATCCACCATGGTGATTGAGCATGATGGGAGTTTTAGTCCAACAGCTCCGTTTTTGAGGACAGGTTGGAGAAGGCTAATTTTACACCATGACTGACCTATGCAACAATTCACAAGGTCAGCAGGGCTGTTTTGGAGGGACTCTCTCCCCTTAACAAAACCGAACAAATCTTAGCACGTTCTCTGAACAACGTTTCCAAGTTTTCACCAACCTTGCGAAGACATGATCCTTCCAACAGTAACTGAGACATATCTCAAGAGAGAGATTTCAGTTTGCAGGACGCAGAAATTCCTGCTCCTGGATGTTAAGATTCCAAATCACCTGTTAAACACTGGGGTTTAAAAACCTGGCTATAAACGGCTAGTTTTGCTCTTTAGTTCTGTGAACATTCTTTGCTTAAGAAAACCAATCAACTCAATTTGTCCCCCCTCCCCCCGTTCAAAATCCCTTCTGCTATGCAGCCATCAGATGTCACATTCATCTAACCTATTGATTTTTGCCATGATTTTGAAGTTCATCTTTTTTCCCCTTATAAAACAGAGAACATGTTCTTCTACTGTTGATACCCTCCCCACCTGTTTTTAGACACTTGCTATAGAAAAACCTATAATCCACTTACACGCATGCGAGTGTATGCCTTCATCTACCAGTATCAAGAAAATCTAACCCTTTAAACACATCCCACTGGAATTGGGGGTTTGGTTGGTGGGAACCAGAGGGTGTGCAGTATCTAACTTTCTTATTTTTGTTAGATTTAACCCAAACTGGGAGGAGCAGGAAGGCAATTCTTATTCCTGCCACCCCGGCCATCACTACTCGTGCTTCAAATGGAGAAGACTCCAGTGTTGCTCCTTAAGACGCTGAATCATGATTAATCTCTTTTCTTCCACTTCATTGGAGGAACCGGAACAGTTCTCGGTGCTAGCGAAGCCAACGCGGGGTTCGAGACACCATAACTGTTAGCCGTCGGTGTCTCTTTCTCCCCTCCTGAAAGTTCGCCTCTGAGAAGTCCGCCTCTTTCTGCCTCCAAAACGAACAGGCAAATCCGTTGTTGAGGTGGAGTTGCAGAATCCGAGGGGACCTCAACATCCACCTCAGTGAAAACCGGAGCAAGTGTGATCCTTTCGACAATCGCTCGCCGCCCTCAGGATGCGGCAAGTCTCCGCTTTCAGAGGCATCAACCTTCTGAGGGGGAAAAATAGCGCTCGTTTGGCGGTGGCTTCTTGCTTCAACCAGGTGATGGTGGCTGACCCGTGAAGGCCGAATGGAGTCCCCTCTCCTGCCCTCAGGATTCACAGAGTTAAGGTCCTCTCCTCAGCGAATTCCTTCATGACCAGGATGGCTTGGTCCCCGACCGACGTCTCCTCGATCGTCCACAAGTTCGGCAAGCCCCCTTCGCCTCCTTCCGTGGGGGACGCGTAGGAGGTCAGCGGCCAGTGGAAGCTCTCCCCGGGATGAGTGTATCCGTAATAGCCCTCTTGGGCAAAACCCCCGAGGTCCAGGAAGATGCTGGTTCCGACGGCGGCTTTGGCCCCCCGCCCGCCGCTCTTGTGGCGCTTCGCGTCGTGGGTGTTCTGGTGCCGGATGAGGTGCGAGCTCTGGTTGAAGCTCTTCCCGCACTCGGTGCACCGGTAGGGCTTCTCCCCCGTATGGATCTTCTGGTGTCGGAGGAGGGTCGCCAGGTCATTGAAGCTCTTCCCGCACTCGGAGCATTTGTAGGGCTTCTCCCCCGTATGGATCCTCTGGTGCCGGAGGAGGGTCCTGCGGTCGCTGAAGCTCTTCCCGCACTCGGTGCACTCGAACGGCCGCTCGCCCGTATGCACCCGCCAGTGAGCTTCCAGGTTGGACTTGTCGCAGAAGCTCTTGCTGCAGCTGGAACACTTGTAGGGCTTCTCCCCGGTGTGGCTCCGCCAGTGGGTCTTGAGGCTGTACTTGTTGTAAAAACTCTTGCTGCAGCTGGAGCAGTGGAACGTCTTCTCCCTGGTCTCCACGTGGGTTTTCTGGTGGGTTATCAGGTTGGTGGTCCGGTTGAAGCTCTTCCCACACTCGGGGCATTTATACGGTTTCTCGCCGGTGTGGATCCTCTGGTGTCGGAGGAAGCTGGTTTTGTCGCAGAAGCCTTTGCTGCAGACGGTGCACTTGTAGGGCTTCTCCCCCGTGTGGATTCTCTGGTGCACCTTGAGACTGGCTTTCCGGGTGAAGCTCTTCCCACAGACTTTGCACTGGTTTTTTCTCTTGCCCTTGTAGACTTTTGGGGGGACCGGCACGCCGCCGAATTCACTCCCCGGGGAGCTGGGTTTGCTGCCCCACTCTTTTGCTGGGTTGTCCTCGTCTCTCTCTGGCCGTCCTGTATCCCCGAAGTGGGTTCTCATCCGTTCGTCCTCTGTGTCTTCCGACAGGACCTCGTAGGGTTCCCACTCGCTGTCACTCTCCCAGGCATCACCTAGTACAAGAGAGAGAGAGAGAGAGAGAGAGAGAGAAGTGAAGTGTCCTCAACCGGGGGCAAGGGGGGGGGACCAGTTCCCAACCCTGATTTTCTCAGACACTCACTCTCAGCCACCTCAGTCACCAAGGACAGGCCCTCTTGAGAACTCCCTGGCAAAACTTGAGACGACTCTTCTGCCACCTGGCCTTGCTCTGGAAATATCTCCACACTGACCTCCGTCGCCATTTCATCAGCTTTGGGGGGGACAGAGAGAAAGAGAGAGACGAATCCTGAGAACATATCCCACAGATGAATTGATTTCTATCAATTCCAGTCATTCATACTCTGGTTTTCAAAACAAAAAAATGATCCGGAACAGGGTTTTTTTTAAGGAAAGGAACAAAATAGAATAAAAAACAACAACAACAACAACAAAAAGATTCAAAATATAGAAGAGGTAGTATATTTTATTTAGACTACTAAAAAACAAAGATTCAGCACAAGCTTGGGGGAATAAATTCACTTCCTCAGGCACAGTGCAGAACATGTATAAATGAATGTCCCAAAAATTGTTCTGGTAAAAGTCGGCCAGGCATAGTTGAGCGCAGAGCTGATTTCAACCTGTTTGGGGGTGTGTGTGTGAAGGAGGACTTTAAAGACATCATCCCTGGTGCCATGGCACTAAAAAAAAAAAATCTCAGCCAAAGCAGATACTGAAAATATAACAGAAGAAGTGGGACCTGGAACAGAATTTAGCAGTGGCCCATATCCCTATTATACAGTTAACATAAGTATCATGTTGGTGTTAATTGTTGCTAATTATGGAGTTGCAATCCGCATTCTGAGTTGCGTGCCAAGTCGCCTGACAGGGACGTGACCGGAAATGCAAGCGGCCACTTGACAATTCATGGGAATTCAACTCCACGGTTTATACCAAATCGCATTTGCGATCGCAAAAACGGCACCGTTGCACGGATTCGGCGCTCTACAGAGCGACTGTTGTGCGAGGCACCACTGTATCATGTTGTGGATACAATGGTGTTAATTGTTGCAAATTATGGAATTGCAATCAGCGTTTTGAGTTCCGTGCCAAGTTGCCTGACAGGCACGTGACCAGAAATGCAAGCGGCCGCTTGACAATTCATGGGAATTCACCTCCACGGTTTACACCGCTCCACTTAAGCCGCAGCAAATCTACAAGATGATTTCGGTCAGCACGGGGCAACCTCTTGAACAAGACTCTTCGTGTTTGGGGCACAAGCCGTGCAACAATGCCAAAATTTGGGGTACTCCTTTCCATTCTGTCTTCCCAGTCCCACCTTTCCAACTCATGCTCGTGACTACTGTGTCTACCCAGTCCTCTCTCCTCTCCCGAAAGGTTCCTTCCCTCTACTGGCCTCTTCCACCACTCAGCCAGGAGTGCCTGTGTCTACCCAGTCCTCTCTCCTCTCCCAAAACGTTCCCTCCACTGGCCTCGTCCACCACCCAGCCAGGAGTGCTGTCGTCGTCAGCATCATCATCATCATCCCAATGAGAATAAATCTGATCAGAAGCAACGATCAAAATCTGAAATACATAGATTGAAATGGATACCTCCTGATGTCTCCGGGCAGGTTTCTCTCTGCGGGTCTTCCTCCGGCCTCCTCGATTCGCTTTGGTCGGCAACCGCCTCCTCCACGTCCTGGTCCTGCCCTCCTTCTGCTGTCATCTCCGTGGGTGCTTTCTTGATTTCACTGCGCTGGGCCTCACCTGTTGGAACTGAGCCCCGCAAGAATGTCAGGGACAAGCAGTCCTCCTCCTGTATCTCCGCTCCCCATTACAAAAGGCTTGATAAAGAGGGCATCAATCATGTTTAAAGACCCCCTATCAGGGCAGCGTTATTCTTTCAATACGGTTTTATTTTAAACATTCTCCTACCATCTTCAAAGGGACGTGGTGGGGCTGCGGGCTAAACCGCAGAAGCCTTTGTGTGCTGCAGGGTCAAATGCAAGTAACTAAATAGGGACCACCTCGGTGGGAAGGTAACAGCGTTCCGTGTCTAAGTCGCACTGGCCATGTGACCACGGAAGATTGTCTTCGGACAAAACGCTGGCTCTATGGCTTGGAGACGAGGATGAGCATCGCCCCCTAGAGTCGAACATGACTGGACAAAAATTGTCAAGGGGAACCTTTACCTTTACCTTTACCATCTTCAACTAAAGATGTTTCAGGCTGTTTTGAAATGGTCGGGCCTGTAGATCACACAGTGGCTTAACAAGGTGAAGTACAAGCAAACCTTCTGCCTGGCACAACTAGCTTCTTGGCTTGCTGGCCTATCCTTCAGACCCAGAGGTCGGATGGAGATCACACGGTGGCTTAACAAGGTGAAGTACAAGCAAACCTTCTTCTGCCTGCACAACCAGCTTCTTGGCTTGCTGGCCTATCCTTCGGACCCAGAGGTTGGGAGTTCGATTCCCCCACGCGACCTCCTGGACAGGGGCTGGACTCGAAGATCCATAGCGTCCCTTCCAGCATTCTGCTGTTCTAAGATCATTATTAGTATGATTATTAACTGCAGTTCTCCCATTTAATCCAAACCAGGAAACTATGGTTCACAGCTTGGAATAAAGCAGGATGTTAAACCATGGATTCAAGTTGGTTTAACGCTCTGGCTGGTTCCCACAGACTGGGGGGTGATAGTGTCTCGGTTTCAGAGATGTACTGGAGGCCATGCTTTGCAGAATCAAAACATTTGGATGTTTTGGTCACCATGATAAAGGAAGTCAACAGCTACTCCATCCCCTCAACCTTAAATCCCTTTCGGCTCTTTCTTAGCTTAAATTCTTACAGTAGTGAGGGGCTGGGAATATTTTTTTTCGTAACAAGATATTATTGTGGATGATCCCTCTTTTAATTTGGGGGTAGTATGGTCTTCCTGATAAGGTAATTAGATCCCATTGGCTTTACAAAAGACCTGTGCCTGGTAATGATAAATATTGCTACCAAAGGTTCATAGGTTTTGTGTTCCTCTTGGGCGTGAGGAAAAGTAATTCCCTCTTTGGATCCACCTAAGGAGATTATCCAGAGATGGGAACATTCCTGGAGTATTCTGAAAGTATAACCCGGAGTATTTATACAGTAGTTGAAAAATTAGGTTTTCCATCCCTGCAACTGGCACAATGAGTGTCTGCACTTCTACATTTATCTTCCTTCCTTCCTTCCTTCCTTCCTTCCTTCCATCCTTCCTTCCTTCCTTCCTTCCTTCCTCCCTCCCTCCCTCCCTCCCTTCCCTTCTTTTCTCTTTCTATGACACT